GGGAAAAAATATGGGGGAAATATGAGGGAAATCTGGGGAAAAATATGGGGGAAATATGAGGGAAATCTGGGGAAAAGGGAATGGGAAATATATGGGGGAAAGCTGGGGGAAACAATGGGGGGAAAATATGGGGAGAATATGAGGGAAATCTGGGGAAAAGGAAATGGGAAATATATGGGGAAAAGCTGGGAAAAAAATGGGGGGAAAATCTGGGAAAATATGGGGAGAATATGAGGGAAATCTGGGGAAAAAATATGGGGGAAATATGAGGGAAATCTGAGGAAAAGGAAATGGGAAATATATGGGGGAAAGCTGGAAAAAAAATGGGGGGAAAATCGGGGGAAAATAATGGGGGAAAATGGGAAATATATGGGGGAAAGCTGGGAAAAAATTGGGGAAAAATCTGGGAAAAAAATCTAGGGAAATCTGGGGAAAATAAGGGGGGGAAATGGGAAATATATGGGGAAAAGCTGAGAAAAAAATTGGGGGAAAATCTGGGGAAAATATGAGGAAAAAATCTGGGGAAAGCTGGGAAAAAAATCTAGGAAAAATCTGGGGAAAACCTGTGAAATATCTGGGGAAATCTGGGGGGAAAAATGGGGGAAATCTGGGGAAAAACTGGGGGGAAAGCTGGGAAATATCTGGGAAAAATCTGGAAAACAAATCTGGGGAATATCTGGGGAAAAGTCTGGAAAAAAAATCTGGGAAATATCTGGGGTAAAATCTGGGGAAAAAGCTGGGAAAAATCTGGGGAAAAAGCTGGGGAAAAGCCTCTCCTCTGGGAGAGGAGACAGAACTCAGGTGCCCTGCGCTGGGAAAAGATTTACGCAGCGAGAATTTGGATTTGTTTTTTAAATTTGAGGTCACCTCATCCTGGAAATACCCAAATCAGGGAGGCGGCGCAGGCAAAGATCAGGCAGCTGCATTTTGAGGGGAAAATATGGGAAAAAAACTGGGGAAAATCTGGGAAATTCAATTTCCTGCATTTTTCACTGTATCAAAAAAGTGATTTTGCTGCCAAAGTGATGCTCCAAGGCTGGAATATTTTCCTTGCAGGAAGAAAAGCAGATACAGAGACCTAAAACCTGTGTTTTTTGACTTTTTTTAATCATCCTTTCCCTTTATTGGACTATTTCAGTGGCAGCTTTAACTAGAAAACTTTAAAAAATAAATTCGAAACATAATCCTGAATTTTGAACAAATTAATCTTCAATACTGGTAATTATAAATATTAATTTATCTCATAGGAGGAATAGTTAGAACAAGTGGGACAAGGGACAAAAAGGTTTTTTGGGTTGTTTTTGTTTTTGTTTTTGTTTTTTTTGTGGTCATACCATCATTTCTAGAGATCTAAACCCATTTTCTTCCCTTGAAATTAAGGAAAAATTTGACATACCATCATTTCTAGATGTCGAAACCCTTTTTTTTTTTCCCTTATTTGATTTATTTGAAGGCATTTAATTTACTGCACAGGTGAAAATCAGGTGGCCTGATCTCCAGGAAAATTAAACAGATTTTTTCAGGGGGAAAAAAAAAAATAAATCAGAGTAAGTGTAAGTGGTGTTCCTTCCCAGCACACCCCCAGAGTGTGACCCCACAAAGGACACTCCCCAAAAATCACATTTTTCACATCATTTAATGTCCAGTGAGTCCAGTCTCCATGAGGTAATAGTGATAGCCTGAATTTTTCAGTGTTCCAGCAGGCAAAAAATAAAAACAAAAAAACAAGCAGCCTCCAGGATTTCCCTGCAATCCTGGGCTGACCCTGCAGTGCTTTTCCAGCTTCCCAAAAAAGAAATCCAGTAAATTCCCCCAGCAAATCCCGTCTGACATCCTTTGGCTCTTCCTCCAAAATCTGAGATTTACAGTACAAGTGTGGATTTTCCCCTCAGAGAGGCAGAAAAATCCTTTTTGTAGGCATTTAACACATTGATAAAATTAAAAATAAAAACACAGCAACGCAACTGGGAAGCAAACAGCTCCAGGCTTGGTTGGACAGAGGGGATTGTGCAGCATAAATGAAATTTTGCTGCACATCCCAAGTGCAAAAATCGTGGATTTAACAGGGATGGTGCTGCTGGGTGGATCCCTGCTCCAGGAACTTTTTTCTCTCCCATCCAAAAATAAATCTCTTAGCAGCTAATCCTAATGGGAAGGGTTTTCTTTCTAACTGTAGAGCTCGTCCTAATGTGGATTTTATTTTCTGACTGTACAGATGTAAAAAAAAAAGTGTAAAAAGAAAAACTATTCCATGTTTATAAAGTGGAATAACTTGGCCAACTCGTCAGCTCCAGGCTGGAAAGAAAAAGTGGAAATAACCAAATAATAAATGGAGAATGAACCAGAGAGGCTTGTGCCTGTGCAAAAATATTATTTTCAGCCATTAGGGCAGGTTGTGCTGCACAAAGAGGTCCTGGGTGATGCTGAAAACTTGGAATAAAAAAAAAAAAAATCAACCCCTTAGCAGCCCATCCTAATGTGGATTTTTTTTCTAACTGTAGAGATGTAAGTAAAGAACCAATCCACATTTATAAAGTGGAATAGTTTGTCCAACTGCTCAGCTCTGGGCTGCAAAGAAAAAGTGGAAATAACCATGGACAGAGAACCAGAAACTTGTGCAAAAATGTCATTTTCAGCCATCAGGGCAGGTTGTGCTGCACAAAGATGATGCTGAAAACTGGGAATAAAAAAAATCAACCCTTAGCAGCCCATCCTAATGTGGAATTCTTTTTGTACTGCAGAGCTCTACACACAAACTGACACGTGTAAAAAAGAACCGGTGGTCCACGTTTATAAAGTGGAATCGTTTGGCCAACTCCTCAGCTCCAGGCTGCAACGGAAAAGTGGAAATAACCACGGACAAAGGCTCGTTTTGTGCAAAACTGTCATTTTGAGCCGTCAGGGCAGGTCGAGCAGCTTGTGCTCGGCGAAGAGCTCCTGGGTGATGCCGTACACGTCGCCGATGTAGGGGATGGCCTCCCCCAGCATGGCCACGGCCTCCTCGGCCGAGCCCACGTTCATGATCTCCAGGAAGGCATCGCGGGACGGCAGCGCGCAGAAAGCCACGGTGGCCGCCTTGCGGACCACCCAGGGGTGGTGCTCGGCCAGCGAGGCGTTGTAGGCGTCGGTGCAGAGCACGGAGGTGCGCGGCTCCCCGGAGCGCAGCCCCTCCAGGAAGAGCTGCAGCCAGCGCAGGGCGCGGTGCAGCCGCAGCACCGTGCGGCAGCCGGAGTCGGGCCGCGCCCGCAGCGCCGCCGGCCCCGCCGCCAGCTCGTGCTGCACCAGCGACTGCAGCGACACGAAGCGGTGCTGCTGGCGGTGAGCCTCCAGCAGGGCCACCTTGGCCACCGCGTCCTTGGAGATGAAGGAGAAGACGGCGCCCAGGCTCTGCAGGAAGCTGAGGGAAAAGGGGAGCTGGGTTAGGTGGGTGAGCGGCGGGAAGAAAACCACCCCAAAGGGCGGGAAAACGAAGGCGCCTCAGGGGTGCAAAGCGTCTGAGGGGGGGAAAAGAGAACCCTGCCAAACCCCTGCCAAAAAAACAGCTGAGGGGTGAAAAGAGAACCCTAAAAACACCAGAGGGGTGAAAAGACAACCCTCAAAAAACAGCTGAGGGGGGAAAAGAGAACTCTGCCAAAAAAACAGCTGAGGGGTGAAAAGAGAACCCCAGAAAAGCATCTGAGGGGGGGAAAAGAGAACCCTCCCCTGAGGGGGGAAAAGGGAACCCAAAAAACACCTGAGGGGTGAAAAGACAACCCTCAAAAAACAGCTGAGGGGGGAAAAGAGAACTCTGCCAAAAAAACAGCTGAGGGGTGAAAAGAGAACCCCAGAAGAGCATCTGAGGGGGGGAAAAGAGAACCCTGCCAAACCCCTGCCAAAAAAACAGCTGAGGGGGGGAAAGGGGACCCTTAAAACCCCGGGGTTGAAAGGGTACCCTTCAAAAACCGGTTGGGGGGGGAAAGGGGACCCCCAAAGGGGCTTTTGGGGGGTTGAAAGGGGACCCTTGCCAAAAAACAGCTGAGGGGTGAAAAGAGAACCCTAAAAACACCTGAGGGGTGAAAAGACAATCCTCAAAAAACAGCTGAGGGGGGAAAAGAGAACTCTGCCAAAAAAACAGCTGAGGGGGGAAAAGAGAACACTAAAAACACCTGAGGGGGGGAAAAGGCAACCCTCAAAAAACAGCTGAGCGGGGAAAAGAGAAACCTAAAAACACCTGAGGGGGGAAAAGAGAACCCTGCCAAAAGAACAGCTGAGGGGTGAAAAGAGAACCCCAGAAGAGCATCTGAGGGGGGGAAAAGAGAACCTTCCCCTGAGGGGGGAAAAGGGAACCCAAAAAGCACCTGAGGGAGGAAAAAAAGAACCCTGCTAGAAAAACAGCTGAGGGGTGAAAAGAGAACCCCAAAGCACCTGAGGGGTGCTGCTGGCGGTGAGCCTCCAGCAGAGCCACCTTGGTCACCACGTCCTTGGAGATGAAGGAGAAGACGGCGCCCAGGCTCTGCAGGAAGCTGAGGGAAATGGGGAGAAATGGGGAGGTGGGTTAGGTGGGGGAAAAAAACACCCTGAAGGGTGGGAAAATGAAGGCAAAAGCACCTCAGGGGTGAAAAGCATCTGAGGGGGCTGAAGAGAGAACCCTGCCAAAAAAATCTGATAGGGGGAAAAGAGAACCCAAAAAAAAAAAAAAAAAAAAAAAAAAACACATGAGGGAGGAAACAAGAATCCAAAAAAATACATGAGGGGGAAAAGAGAACCCAAAAAAACACATGAGGGAGGAAAAGAGAATCCAAAAAAACACATGAGGGGGGGGAAAGAGAACCCAACAGACCACAAACACAGAACGCACTGTGTTGTAAGGGACCTTAAAGCTCCCAACACCTTCACTGCCCCAGGCTGCTCCAAGCTGGCCCTGGACACTTGCAGGGATGGAGAACCCACAGCTCCTCTGGGAAACACATCCCAGCACTTCCCCACCCTCCCAGGGCAGAATTCGTTCCCAAAATCCAACCTAAACTCAATCTCTGCCAGTGTGGATCCATCCCCCCTTGTCCTTTAAATAGTTTTGTCACTCTCTCCCGTCAGCTCCGGTGCTAGAAAGGGCTCGTTCAAATGGGTTAAACTGGAGAAACTGCCGTGAACTCCTAAAATACAGCAGTGAAAACACGATGTGGCGTAAAGCTCTGTGCGACAGATCTCCCTCAGGAAGTGGCTGGGATTTTTTCCTCATACTCCCTCCGTCGGTGTGAAGTCATCGCGTCCTGCCCTGTCACCGCATCCTTCTGCCCACAGATGGGTCGCGGCCACTCACCGGATGAGCCCCCGCCAGCCGCTCAGGTAAGGCTCCAGCAGCACCTCCCGCTGCTCCGTCACGCACCTCCGGAAGGCGTCCAGAACCTCCCTGAGGCTGAAGGGGCCCGCGGCCGCCGCCGCCGCCATCGCCGCGCGGCGCCGCCTCCTCTTCCTCCTCCTCCTTCCTCATCCCGCACGGCCCTCTCGGCCAATCAGCGCCCCGTCCGTCACCCGCCGCGCCCCGAGGGCCAATCCGCTTCGTGTGCGTCACTGAGGTTCGGCCAATCCGCTTCGCGTGCGTCACTTCGGCTCTGCAACCCGCGCGGGAGCGGCGCAGGCGCGGAGGAGGCGCCGGCTGCGCGTCCGGGCCTGGGTGAATTTGTGTTTTTATATAATTTTTTGGGGGTGTTTTTGTGCTTTTTTTGGTCTGTTATTTCTGTGTGTTCCTACGCGTGTTTCCCCAGCTCGCAGCAGTGGTGGCGCCAAACGGGGCCGCTGTCCCACATGTTGTTTATCGCCTGACGCGTGGTTTGTGTCTCGCCTCAGGAGGAGTTTGGGCTCTGCTGGAATTTTCAGAAAACAACTGAAATGGCGCCTGGAAAAGCAGCGAGATCCTCTCCTGTTGTGCCCCTCGCCGATCTGCTCCTGGAGTAATTCCCTGTGCGGGTTTTGGGACGTGGAGTGGGGTAAAAATGCCTGAGATCAAAGTCACCCCCTTGGGTAAGTCCGGCCTAAAATCGCCTTGAAATACAAACACTGAAAACCTGGGGGGTTTGGAATTCAGGGTAATATTTGGAATTTCCCATGTGATTCCTGTCAGCTCTCCCTTGGTTTTTCCAGTGGCAGTTATAATTATTTGGATTAATTAATTAGGACTAATGAAGTTATTCTTGTACTCGCTACAGTGCTAAACAACCACAGGCAGAAAATATTATAATATTATAATAGAAAATTTTATAATATTAGTTGTATATATTTCTATGTATATAATATATTTATAAATATAATATATATTTTTATATATAATATTATTAGTTAAATATAATAGTTATAACTATTTGCATTCAGTAATCGGGACTAATGAAGTTATTCTTGTACTTGCCATAGTGCTAAACAACCACAGGCAGAAAATATTATATTATTATAATAGAAAATACTGTAATATTAGTTATGTATATGTATATTTATATTCTATATTTATATATATTATATATATATAATATATTATATATTATATGTATTATATTATTAGTTAAATATAATAGTTATAACTATTTGCATTAATTAATTTTTTTCCTGAAAGAATTGCAGCTTTTCTCAAAGCTGTTTTACTAGTGTTTTACTGGTGTTTTATTGGTATTTTGCTGGTGGTGTTTTATGGGTGTTTTGCCCATTTTTTACTTGTATTTTCCTGGCGTTTTGTGATGTTTTCCTGGTGTTTTGTTGGTGTTCTATTGGCATTTTGCTGGTGGTGTTTTATTGGTATTTTGCCAATATTTTCCTGGTGTTTTGTGATGTTTTCCTGGTGATTTCTGATGTTTTCCTGGTGTTTTGCTGGTTTTTCCTGGTGTTTTGCTCATGTTTTGTGATGTTTTCCTGGTTTTTCCTTGTTTTGTGGTGTTTTCCTGATATTTTCCTGCTGTTTTGTGATGTTTCCCTGCTGTTTTGCTGCCGTCCAGGGGCTGGGCAGGACGTGGGCAGGAGCTGCATCCTGGTGTCCATCGCTGGCAAGAATGTCATGCTGGACTGTGGCATGCACATGGGCTACAACGATGACGTGAGTGTTCCCTGGGCCACCTCCAGCCCTCCCTGTGTGCCACCTGCATTTCTGGCCTCCTCCTTCAGCCCCTGCTGCAGCTGGACTGTGCCAGAGCTGCTCTTTCCCCTTCAAAATCTCCATTCTCCTAAAATATTCCCTGAAATATCACCTGGACTGTGCCAGAGCTGCTCTTTCCCCTTCCAAAATCTCCTTTCTCCTCAAATATTCCCTGAAATGTCACCTGGACTGTGCCAGAGCTGCTCTTTCCCCTTCCAAAATCTCCCTTCTCCTCAAATATTCCCTGAGATGTCAGCCCTCCTTTCCCTGGCTTGTGGATTTGGGAAAATGTTCATGACTGCAGCTGCAAATGCTCCACTGCAGGTGGGTTTGGACTCTCTGGATTTCCTGTGAGCAGGAATCCTGTCCTTAGCTTTGGGGCAGCTCATTCCAGGTGGGATCCTCACCACATTTCTGCTGCTCCAGGGACAGAGAGGGAAACTCCTGGTTATGGCTTCCCTGACACAACAGGAAAGGAATGATGGCACAAATATCCTGTAAGGATTTTGTTCAAGCAGCAAATGTGCTGTGACAGGAGAGCTTTTGGGGCTCTGTGTCTCAAAGCCAGGCTGTGTTCAGCGCCCATTTCACTTGGGAGATAAAATAATGTATTTATGAAAGGGTCAGCTCTCTGGCTGTCCCCTCATTTCTGCCTCTCCCTGCACACAAAAGCTGCTGGTGCTGCCTGGAGAGGGCTCAGCACATTCCCAATTTCCCATTCCCTGCTTTTTTTTTTTTTTTTAATCAAGGGGTTAAGTTAAAAATACAGCTAATGAATCAAGGGATTCAATTAAAAATAAAGCTAATGAATCAAGGGGTTAAGCTGGGGGTGTAGCTAAGGAATCAAGGGATTAAATTAAAAATACAGCTAATTAATCAAGGGGTTAAATTTTGGCTCACTGATTCTGGTGTTTCCTGGAGAGAGCTCAGCACATTCCTAGTGTCCCATTACCTCTCTGTTTTTTTTTGGATCATTGATGCTGGTGCTGCTTGGAGAAGGATCAGCACATTCCCAGTGTCCCATTTCACCCATTTTTGGTTGGATCACTGATTCTGGTGTTTCCTGGAGAAACTCAGCACATTCCCAGAGTCCCACTGTCCCGTTCCCTGCATGGTTTTTGGGATCCCTGCTGCATTCCTGACAGTTTGCTGTTTGTCCTGGCTGCAGAGGCGCTTCCCTGACTTCTCCTACATCACGCAGAACGGCAGGCTGACCGATTTTCTGGACTGTGTCATCATCAGGTGAGCTCCTTCCTCATCCTCATCCTCATCCCTGCTCCTTTGGGGCTGTCCCTGCATCCCATGGGTTTAAAAGAATGGATTTTAAAATTTAAAATCATGGTTTTAACATCATGGTTTTAAAAGAATGGATTTTAAAATGTAAAATCATGGGTTTAAAACCATGCTTTTATAATAATGGATTTTAAAGTTTAAAATCATGGTTTTAAAATCACGGATTTTAAAATCTAAAATCATGGTTTTAAAATCATGGATTTTAAAATTTAATTTTTTAAATTATTATTATTATTTTTTTTTATTTTATTTTATTTTATGTTTGCAGCCACTTCCACCTGGACCACTGCGGGGCACTGCCCTATTTCAGCGAGATGGTCGGCTACGACGGCCCCATCTACATGAGCCACCCCACCAAGGCCATCTGCCCCATCCTGCTGGAGGACTACAGGAAGATCACCGTGGACAAGAAGGGGGAGACCAATTTCTTCACCTCGCAGATGATCAAAGACTGCATGAAGAAGGTGGTGGCTGTGCACCTCCACCAGACAGTGCAGGTGGGGGAAGCAAGGGGTTAAATTAGAAATCCTGCTACGGATTTAAGGGGTTTAATTAAAAATTCTGATGAGGAATCAAGGGGTTAAATTAGAAATACTAAGGATTTAAGGGGTTTAATTAAAAATTCTGATGAGGAATCAAGGGGTTAAATTAGAAATACTGCTAAGGAAGCAAGGGGTTAAATTAAAAATACAGCCAAGGAATCAAGGGGTTAAATTAAAAATACAGCTAAGGGATCAAGGGGTTAAGTTAAAATACAGGAATCAAAGGGTTGAATTAAATTTAAAATACAGCTAATGAATCAAGGGATTAAGTCAGGAGTGTAGCTAAGGAATCAAGGGGTTAAATTAAGAATACAGCTAATGAATCAAGGAGTTAAATTAAAAGTAATGATAATTTATATACCCACATATGGTCAATAGTTGATTCTAATAATTGTAATTTAGAATTAATAATAATTGTAGAATTTATTCTAATAATTTATCCCCATTTGGACAAAAATTATAATAATTGAAGGTAATAATAATAATGATCAAATCTATTATAATAACCTATTTATGGCCACTAGTTAATCTAATAATGGTAATTAATTTGCCCCTGGGCAGGTGGACGAGGAGCTGGAGATCAAGGCTTACTACGCCGGGCACGTGCTGGGGGCTGCCATGTTCCAGATCAAGGTTGGCTGCGAGTCCGTGGTGTACACGGTGAGTGAAAAATGGGAATTATTGCTGCCCTGCTGGGCTCCAAATGTCCCCAGGTTCTTGTGATATATGCATAAAAAAATAAAAATAATCCATCTATATGTTTTTTTTTAAATGTGTGTTTATTTAATTTATATTATATTTGTATTATTTAAGGAAATAATATATTATGGATGTATATTATATACAGATTTTATATATTTAATATATGTGTGTATTTTTATGTATTCTATATTATCTATTATGTATTATATATTATATATATATGTATATATATTATATATTATGTATTCCAATGATATATTATATATACTAATATAAAATATAATATATATATTATTATGTAATAATACTGTATTGTATAACAATATATTATTGTTATACAATATATACTATAATATATTGCATAACAAATATATATGTTCTATTATATAATATATAGTAATGTATTGTTATATATAATATAGTATTATATAATTTTAATATATATAATATATTATTATGTAACAATACTATATTGTATACCAATATATTATATAATACATATAATATAATATTTTATTATGTAGTATTGTATGATAATTATATAATTAATATATATTAACAATATAATTATATACCAATATAAAATATATATAGACAATATAATATATTGTGTATTATCTGTAATATATATTTGCTATATAAATATTATAAATTACATACATATTTAATGTTTGAATATATATTCATATTTTATATATTCTGTAGTCTGTTATATATAATATTTATATTCAATATAATATATAATAAAAATAGATATAATTTATATATTTATTATACGAGTAATGTAGTATAAATATGTATTATACATAGTATATATTTTATACATA